CGCCGTCATACAAATGAATCAGGAGTTGATATAGAAAAAGAACAAAAAGATGGAAATTTGAGAGACATATGAGAACGAATAACAACTTACATTTGTGTTGATTTGTTGTAGAGAGAAATCATTAGGTGGATTTTGTGTTGATTGTGTACAAGAACATAGAACGTAAGAGATGGAGACAGAGAGATGCGAAGAAAGAAAAGAAGAATAAAGAAAGAGATGAGATCTATCGGGGAGTGAGCAAAGAGAGAAGGATTTAAGCCTTCAGATCAAAGAAAATCAATGGTTAAGATTGTAATCCTTGCCATTTTAAAACTGACCAATGAGAAGAAAGAACAAGAAAACTAAAAGATTCATTTGTAGCCTTTGATTTAAAATTAATCAATGGTCTTAGCTTCCAAAAATGGTTTTAAATTCTTTTTTTTTGTTAATTATTGTAGTAATTATAATTATATTTTTTGATTAATTTTGTTTATATAAAGACCAAGTTATTCATTTTCATTTATAAAACTAATGATATAAGATTTCATTTTTATAAGAAATTTTAAGTTAAATAAGACTAATAATTAACAAAATGGTTTAGTGAGTTTAGGGTCTGCACTCTACTGTAAAAGTTTAGATTTAAGTTTATTTTAAAAGTTTGAGATTAGAGTTTAAAGTTATATGATTAATTTGGGCTATGATATATATAAGTCTATAGTTTACAGTTATAGATTTAGCTTTAATATTTGAAATTAAAATTTCAAAATATTAAACTTTGAATAAAGATTTGAGTATATATGAGGGTTAAAGGTTTAGAGTATTTATTTAAGATTTGAGATTAACTTTTGAAAAAGATTAATTTTTGAGTTTATGTTAAAGATTTGATGTAAAAATTATAGAATTTAAAGTTTGTAGTTCGAGTTTAGGGTTTATTAAACGTTTATGGTTTAGGGAATCAAAAAGTCAAACATAGCATTTTGTATTTATGTGTTGCTATTAAATATAAGTGTTACATATAAATCATATGCTATTATAGTGTTTCCGGATAAACCACTCTATCATAATGTTTCTAAATATACAAACGTTATCTAAAAATAACGGATATGTTAACCATAGCAGAAAGACAAAAAACGCTATCTTCTATTGCTATCAAAATCCATATTTCTTGTAGTGATTCTCCTCCATCATTTCTATATATGATATGAATTTTTAGAGATAATGGTGGGATCATTAGCGACGAAGCTGTACATATAGCGGTGCGCGTTGTGCACCTCATTTCTGCTCATCAATTCAGATCCTGACAATCCACGAAGAACCATTTCTGAAACATTCAAAATCTAAACTAGATGTTGGACAGATTTCGATTCATGGGTCTGTTTACTTAACCAGTCCCGCATGATTCTTCCTACGTTCGACAATTGTTGAGCCATGACAACGATCCTCCATAACTTCCCTGTGTGAATTAACGAGTGAGATCTATCCAATAGAACCTAGAAATGTGAAAATTTGGGGGGGGGGGGGGGGACGATTAACAATAAGAGTCATGGTATATCATTTCTTATTTTNATCCAATAGAACCTAGAAATGTGAAAATTTGGGGGGGGGGGGGTGGACGATTAACAATAAGAGTCATGGTATATCATTTCTTATTTTGAATTGTTAGTTTGATGTGTAAATATAATATTAGCCCCATAATAGTTTTGATATCCAAGCTATGATATATATTAGCTAGACAATATTTTTGGAACCCAGATACAATAAATATTAGCCAAACAATAGTTTTGGCAAGGTTTCATGTCCGGCGTATTGTAACCAGCTAATTTAATAAATTACCGTAACCTATGTATTGTACGCACCGAATGTGTCTTAACCGGCTAATCTAATACGTTTTTGTACCCAATGTGTCTTAACCGGCTAATCTAATAAGTTTTCATATCTGATGTATATAAAACTAAATATAAACATTGCTACAAAATTCTGTGTACATCGAATATAACTTTGAAAAAAATCGAGGAATAGATAATAATCTGTAGTTTGAGATATCTGAGTCCATTTGAGAAATTAACTTGAAAGGCTGGGGATGATTGAGACCGATGGGATTTCAGTCGTTTTTGGCTTTGGACATCTAGGAGCATTTTGGAATATGGCTTTTGTTTGATTTGTTACCACAATCAGGCTATAGCCTGTTGTTTAATGTAAAGTTTACTAAGAATATGGAGTTTGAGTCATTTGTTATCGTTTTCAGCATGGAAACAATGACTGAGGTGATGACAATAAACCCTTCTGAAGAGATAATCACTACTCGTCATAGCATTTTTACTTCATATCTCCATCCTCCAACTTCCTTTTCTCTTTGGTAATTTTGTTTTAAAAGTTTCGACAGCACATTGGTTGAGTCGATAACTGCTCCACAGTCCTTGTATCCAGAATAAGAAAAGATTGCTCTTCTCCTTGAAATCTATATCCCAAGAATGAAATGGATGCTTTTTCAAGTAAAATAAAATAAAAATTCCATATCAGAAAAAAAAGAAAGCCAGAAAATATTTTTTTAGTTGGTAAAATCCAGAAAATGTTGAATTGGAGAGTGATATAATCTAAATAATTTAAATAAAGAGTAAAAGTGGATGCAGATTTTAGACACAAGAGACTAATTGATCTTTTTGGGCATAATTTTACAAAATGATAGAAGATAGATGGGGAGAGAACAAAGAATATCAAAGTTTGAGTTTCGAGGTGTATGTATATGCTCAATTATTATTATTGACAATAAAATTTACCAAGCGATACAAATCCTAGTAAGAGATATATGGCATAGATTATGTACACATTAGATCAATAGGGGCATTATGGTGTAATAGAAAAATCAAACAGTGCCTAATAGTGGTTTTAGGTAATTAGTTAAATCTTATTATATAAAGCTTGGTTCTTTAAAATTACTTATTTTGAATTGTTAGTTTGATGTGTAAATATAATATTAGCCGCATATTAGTTTTGATATGCAAGCTATGATGCATATTAGCTAGACAATATACTTGGAACCCAGATACAATAAATATTAGCCGAACAATAGTTTTGGCAAGGTTTCGTGTCCGGCATATTGTAACCAGCTAATTTAGTAAATTACCGTATCCTATGTATTGTAACCGGCTAATCTAATAAGTTTTCGCACCGAATGTGTCTTAACCGGCTATTCTAATAAGTTTTTGTATCCAATGTGTCTTAACCGGCTAATCTAATAAGTTTTCATAACTGATGTATATAAAACTAAATATAAACATTGCTACAGAATTCTGTGTACATCTGATATAACTTTGAAAAAAATCGGGGAATAGATAATAATCTGTAGTTTGAAATATCTGAGTCCATTTAAGAAATTAACTTGAAAGGCTGGGGATGATTGAGACCGATGGGATTTCAGTCGTTTGTGGCTTTGGACATCTAGGAGCATTTTGGAATATGGCTTTTTTATGATTTGTTACCACAATCAGGCTATAGCCTGCTGTTTAGTGTAAAGTTTACTAAGAATATGGAGTTTGTGTCATTTGTTATCAGTTTTCAGCATGGAAACAATGACTGAGGTGATGACAATAAACCCTTCTGAAGAGATAACCACTACTCGTCATAGCATTTTTACTTCATATCTCCATCCTCCAACTTCCTTTTCTCTTTTGTATTTTTTTAAAAAAGTTTCGACAGCACATTGGTTGAGTCGATAACTGCTCCACAGTCCTTATATCCAGAATAAGAACAGATTTGTCTTCTCCTTGAAATCGATATCCCAAGAATGTAATGGATGCTTTTTCAAGTAAAATGAAATAAAAATTCCATATCAGAAAAAAATTAATCCAGAAAATATTTTTTTTTGTTGGTAAAATCCAAAAAATGTTTAATAGGAGAGTGATATAATCTAAATAATTTAAATAAAGAGTAAAAGTGGATGCAGATTTTAGACATAAGAGACTAATTGCTCTTTTTGGGCATAATTTTTAAAAAATGATAGAAGATAGATGGGGAGAGAACAAAGAATATCAAAGTTTGAGTTTCGAGGTGTATGTATATGCTCAATTATTATTATTGACAATAAAATTTACCAAGCGATACAAATCCTAGTAAGAGATATATGGCATAGATTCTGTACACATTAGATCAATAGGGGTATTATGGTGTAATTAATAGAAAAATCAAACAGTGCCTAAATTTATTGACAATAAAATTTACCAAGCGATACAAATCCTAGTAAGAGATATATGCCATAGATTCTGTACACATTAGATCAATAGGGGTATTACGATGTAATTAATAGAAAAATGAAACAGTGCCTAATAGTGGCTTTAGGTAATTAGCTAAATCTTATTATATAAGGCTTGATTCTTTAAAATTACTAATTAACATGATCGCGACACATGACAATTACATGTTTAAGATTGTGACATGTGTGAATCTATCTCATAACTAAAATTATATACACTAAGATAATAACAAAAATAAATTTTTGTTTAAAATTTAATTATAACTAGTATATCACCCCGTGCATTCGCACGGACCAGTACGTAGTTCCTTTATAAAATTAGTAGTGCTCTGTTATCAAACGTAAAAATAGTTTGTCATATTTTCTAGAGCTTGATAAATTAAACACCTGAAAGTAGAAGTTATGCAACAAAACAGTTTGAAGCAATTTTTGTGTTGTCTTTTTTTTTTGAAATTATTTGTTAGTTTTCTTAATGCAGTACTTCCAATTTTTAGAGAAAGAAAATACATATTTAACCATAAAATTTAGATATAAGAGATCAAATGATAACGAACACATAACAGATTGAGAAAGAGAAAACATATAGTTCAAGTTTAAGAACCTTGTTCCGTACATGTGCATATAGTGGTTTCTCGTGAGATGATGTATCCCTAGTAACATACGGTCAATCATTCCAACTGCATAACAGCCTGGTCCAGTGTTTCTTCTTAGTTCTTACCCACATTTCACCTTCATATTATAATTAGAAGTGGCACAATATATATAAAATAAGTTAAGAAGAAAACAAATTCCACGCAAGAATGTTATTGACGACAGTATTCACAAACATCCTCGTATCCTCCTCTGTATTACCTTTTGGTATATCAACAATGTAAGACTCCAACACTACATTGTACACTCTCTTGACCTTATCCTTCTCCAAGACAACAAACTCGTTAACGATGTAACCGACCGGTAATTTCTTAACCGGTGTTCCCCTCCAAGAACACGAAAACTCAAGATTCATTTCTCATCGTCTAGAGCTTCGAGCATCTCAACGCTTGTTGACGCTGGAAGACCAGATACCACGCTAACTTCCCTAATGGTCCCGACACTAATCTCTTTACCGTTTCCTCTGAT